GAGGTCATCAGCTTTTTACCCTCTTTACGGGAAAAATGCAAGAACACATCTCTCACTTCAACTTTCCCATTGTTGATTTTCACATATCTGATCACTTCGGACATCTGATCACTGTGTGATATTTCAGGTGCACTTTCGAACATAATTTCAAAATACCTTGCAGCCTTTTAATCCATGAAAAGAATCTAATTCACATGATGTGCGAGGACATTTGTAAAATCATTTTGGGTTTCTTGTGTAAGGTAAGATGCGGATGCTTTTTCTGTAGATGCACTCGTCTTTAGTCTCATTTGGTGCTCTTTTAGCACTGGGTCATATTTAGATAGCATCTCAGCCATTTCAAGAAAGTTTCACTGAAGATTTAGCTTCGTTGTGGCCACGTAATTCCAGATTTTACTTTGCAAGAAGCAATGTGATATCCAGTAACCTGTGCAGGATATGCATTCATTTTTTGTTCTCGAATTCCATCAATGCAATATTTTCGGGATAAATTGTTTTGTGTGTCCTAAGTCCTGCTGCCAATGCTTTCCACTTTTCAAGGTAACATAGGTGCTTTTCCGATGCTTCATGATTTTGTAATTTTGGGCTCAGTTTTCACCACTTATCAAAGCCAGGAACACATTTGGATATAGTTTCTGTAACATTAACAGCAAACAATCTGCAGCAAAAACAATACAATTTCTGACTGACCTGTGAATAAGCCAACCACTACCGCAATACCAGCGACGAATCATGGAAAATATTAATGTTTGAGTATTTCTGGGTTTTGATGTATACTATTAATATATGTCTTTTGGGAAAAAAAATATTTATTTAAATTTAAATAAGAATGAATCATTAAAAAGTTGAAAATTGTGTAAAATAACAAATTTTGAACCCTATAAATGGGTAAAAATTCATGTTTAATGTTTTTATTTTGTACCGATTCTTATGCTTAGAATCGTCCGACCGCACCGTATTTGGTATCAATGGAAAGCCCTATTTCTCAGAATTTAGATAAATATAGCCTCTTGTCACTTACGGAAATTACCAAACACTTCAATCGGCGTGGAATAATGAATGTGTTTTCTGACCTAAACATAGGGTCATCTTATTTCTGACGAAGCAACCTTGAACTTTTAATAAAGCACGCATTGGGATTGGTTAGATTTGTGAAAAATGTACGTATGGTCGGTTTTTCTTTTATGAATCTCGGTCAGACCGAGCAGTGTGTGCTCTATAAATAATGCAGTTTTTGATGTGGGTGTCACCCCTAAAATGGTGTCACCCGGTGCGATCCTCACCCCCCGCACCCCCCTCGCTACGCCAGTGGTTCCAATAATGGAACAACAGGCGTAAATAAGTTAATGAATTTCAAGTTTAAAAAAAAAAGGAAGATAACTCTCATAACAACTCCAAGAAATTCGGTGTTAAACTTTTATCCAAGGGAATTAACTTGTATTAGAAACTTCTTCGGTGGTTTATATACCGGTTGCTGTTCCTGTTCTTCCTCTTGACACTTTTCTTGTGAAGTGTATGCATTAGAAATTAGGGTTGAACCGACTTGCTAATTGAACGCTTACCGATTAATCAGCCGCCGATTATTAATTATTTATTTAGCTTTTAAATTGAAATGCCTATTATAATTGTACATTTTACGTCAATCGTAATATTTGCTATCACTAGAATAGAAATGCTTTTCTGTAGAGGGTAGGTAAAGGCATTTTAATGCCAATAACTATGACCGAGTCAAGAATTAGACCAGTTTGCCACTCAGCTACCCTAACCTTTGAACTCTGCACTCAGACGTGAGGAACACGCCTCCATTCGCCAATGTAACAAGCCGGTCACGTAGACCACCCACCGGTGAGTGCAGTGACGTGAACAGCGTAACGCTTACACCAAAGGCTGATGCCACTAAAGTGGCCATGCAAATGCAATAATTGGGAGAGGGGGGGGGGGTAGGTAGCCCCTGGGAAAACCTGGGAAACTGGCCGTCGTATAATATGTGACAGTTGACATACTTTTTAAAAATTATTTATATGACCTTTTTTTTTTATTTTTACTCAGTATAATGCACATTTTCGAACAAAATTACCTTGTTTCTTACCGGAAATACTTTAAGTTAAGTCTAAATACTTTAAATAGTACTAGTTCCTAAAGCCTAAAGGAAGAGGTTGGAAACGTTCGTTGACGGAGCCGCATGTTGATCTCTGAGGCAATGCAACCGACTCTTTTTCTTTTTTTTTTTTTTTTTATACTAATGTGACTCCTAAAAAAATGTTGTGTTTTTTTTTCTTTCTTTTTTTCTTTTTTTAAATGTTTTTTTTCTTAAAAAGCTTGCTTTTTTTTTTTTTTTTTTTTTTTTTTTTTTTTGGCTATTTACACATCTCTTTTTTTTTTTTTTTTTTTTTTTATACTAATGTGACTCCTAAAAAAATGTTGTGTTTTTTTTTCTTTCTTTCTTTCTTTTTTTAAATGGTTCTTCACTTAAAAAGCTTGCCGACCCCTGGCCTAGGGGAAGCTGTCGTGGGTCTTTAATCATGGCACGACACGTGGTCACATGCAAGGTCTGAAAAGTCACATCGTGTGTTGGGTTTTTGGAGACATTAAGGCTATTCATACTTTCGTCTCTCTCACGTGTATCCTCCTTTCGAATAAATTTTATTCTATTCGTCGAAAGTCTCAGGCAGCTTAGTAATAGGACATTCAGTGACGTGTTTAAAAAATGGAATGGATGTCAACTAAGTTCTCATGCTCACATTAACAATGTGCACGAAACTAAGTAAGATGGGCAGGGCATATTCATTTTGACCAAATTGAAACAAACCGGCCGGGACGCTGAGACAAGGTTGCTTATGTTCACACTGTTTGGTCATTTTTGTTAAACCCTCACATCCCCTTGTTTAAACTGTCAAACTTTCAAAGACCCCCATAATTAATTATGTCAAAAATTCCCCCCCCCCCACCCTTTTTTAAAAAATGAAATAGAAATAAATACATTTTTTTTTTTTTTTAAATTGCTTGAGTCGTAAGATAAACCAGGGAAAAAAAATGTTAAAAAGTGGGGGGGGGGGGTGTTTACATTTTTTTGGAACTTCCTTAAATTTGTAACAACGAGAATCTATGACAAGCGTAAATGTTATTTTTAAATTTCAGAATTCAAGAAAGAATTGATAAGATAAGATCTAAAATACTATTGTTAGCACATTAATGGCTAGATTTTTTTTTCATCTTCATGTTGATAACCAAATGGTCCATCTTTAAGTGGATAAGTCAAATGTTCTCTCTTTAAGTTGATAAGACAAATGTTCTATCTTTAAATTGATAAGCCAAATGTTCCATCTTTAAGTTGATGAGTCAAATGTTAATTCTTTAAGCCTCTCTCTCTCTGCTCCCTCCCTCTCTCTACCCTCTCTCCTCTCTCCCTCTCTGTTCCTCTCTCTTCTATATCTCTGCTCTCTCTCTATCTTTTCTCCCCCCTCATTCTCTCCTCTCTCTCTGCTCTCTCTGCTCTCTCTCTCTCTTCTATATCTCTGCTCTCTCTATCTGCTCTCTCCCCCTCATTCTCTCCTCTCTCTCTGCTCACTCTGTTCACTCTTCTATCTCTCTGCTCTCTCGCTCTGCTCTCTCTCTCTCTCTCTCTCTCTCTCTCTCTCTCTCTCTGCTCTCTCTGTCTTGTGGCAGCCAGCTAGACGATGATTTCTCAGGCCCAGAGCCATCGCATAACTTTTGGAGACCCGCTGAGCCGTCGCATAACTTTGGGAGACCCGATGTAACTTGTTTTTATTTTAAATTCATTTTTTCAGTCTTCAATACGATTTAAAATAATTTTTTCCACCTTACATCATTGGACCCCTTTTATATCTGAGTCCTCACCCCCACCCCCCTGCGACTGCTCTGCTTAGGCATTATACCCAATAGCGTATAATTTACTACAATTCATTGGTGCTGTTCTGACCAGCCATTAAAATGTTAAATATATTTGAAACAAATTATCGCTGTCTTTTTAAAAGCCTGTTTAATATTAATGTACTTATATATATATATATATATATATATATATATATATATATAGAGAGAGAGAGAGAGGGTATGTATATATATATATATATATATATATATATATATATATATATATATATATATATATATTTATATATATAGATATGTATATATATATATATATATATATATATATATAACAATCAAAGAAAAATAGAGTTCTTGACGTCAATTTATCTTGACACCCCCCTTCCCCCCTCCCCCCCCCACACACACCTTTTTCCAACACTGCCCCTATTTTGCTGACTTAATTATTGGACGGCCCCTGAACTCCTTAACTGGGACAATCCCTGTCAAATGGGACGTCTGGTAAGCCTAGAGATAGCCATTAAAGTTACATTTTTTTAAAAATATAAAATCCTATCAATATCAATAGGCTTGAGTAGGCCTAAATCAGTCTTAGTTTGACTGCAGTGCCTGTAAATGCCTCGATTTCTAGCGTAATAACAATATCCAACAAATCAAAAATATTAATGCTGTGTGGAAGAGTAAAGAATATAGCGTCATAGAGTTACATAGCACCGAAGTGGTGTAGCGAGGGTGTTTGGCGCCCGGGGACAAGATTCGCGCCGGGGGACAAGATCCATTTTTAGCGCCCCTTTTTCTCTTTTTCATCTCTCAAACCCATATTTTCATCAATAAAATAATATCAAAGCACATTTTGGCGCCCCTAACTAGCTGGCGCCCCTAACTAGCTGGCGCCCGGGGACATATGTCCCCCCCTGCCCCCACCACGCTACGCCTCTGTTAGCACCGATGTATACAGCTTGATAACATGTTATTGTTCAGCTAACTTTAAATAGTGACCCCTTTTTCAGACCGAACCAGTCACAGTGACTCAGCAACCTCATCGTTCGGCTTGTGACGTAAGCGGTATCGCGGCCAGCGCAACAACAAAGTACAACGCATAGTAGCGCTCTAGGAAGGCAGAGTTCAAAGGTCAAAGCTCATGCTTGGTGTGCTCCCCGGAGGTGTGTCAGTTATGTCGAATGTTGTGTTACGTGTTCGGAAATAATGGATGAACATTTTCTTATTGGCCATGGTAGAGGATTATGTTCCAGGCAGGTAAAAACAGTTGGTTGGTTTATTTGCTTTTAAAATTGTATATGTCATTATTAGTTCAAATGTGGTGTAGATAATCCTTCTAAATTAAGATTTAATCTTAATAATACTTACATTTAATAAAGTAAAGTAAAAATAGTAATATTCTTAGTTAGTAATCTTAATCTTAGTGAATCTTAATCTTAGTCGACATGTTATTAACGACAACACATATGAATCAAGATTTCAAGAACCAGCTGGCTATTTTCAATTGTCTCAAACTATTGACTATTTATTTTAAAGAATTGTTCATTGAATTGTAAATGAAAATAACCTGTAGGGCTAAAACCGAGGGCGGCTGCCACCTAGTCGTTTGTGTCTTTATTATAATTATAGTTGCAGTGAATTTTGGTTTAGGTTAGGTTTAGGGATCGAGTTAGGGTTCAGGTTAGGCATCGGCATAGGGATCAATTTAGGGTTCAGGCTAGGCATAGGGATTGATTTAGGGATATATTCGTGATATTCGATATAAAAGTGGCAGGCGTCCCCATTTTTAACCAAATGTAGTTTTTAGATGAAGTAATAGTAATATAATTATTTAATTATAATTGTAGTCTAAAATTACTAAAAATAAAAAAAAAATAAAAATTATACGTATAGATAGTATAAGAGTAAGATTAATAAGACTCAAGCCTAAATTTAAAGTTTAGTTTATTTATAGTAGTAGTAGGCTAAATAATGACTCATGGCCATGAGCCTGAAACTGAAACTAATATTAGTATAATATAGACTATAGAGTATAGATAATCTAATTATAATAATGGTCTTCCTTAACTGCTAAATAATTTAATCAAAGACAAAGTCTAGTATAGTACTAATAAGACTAATCCCTCTACTTGGTACTACTCAATCTCAACTATGAACAAGTACAAGACATGTCACATGCCAAGGGCTTTATCATTCATTATTATCATTATTAATTATTATAAAAATTATATTTTATAGTACGGTATAAGTATAGGCCTAATAAAATATGGATGGTTAGAAATATAATATTAACTATTATTAATTATCTTCATGATTTCTATCCTTTCTCCACTTCATCTTTTATCTCGGGAAATATTAGTAACTTAGTATCATCATCAGATGTCTGTTTAAGTGAATTATTTGTATTTAATATGGTAGTGCCATATTGTCACATGTCTAAATAATTATTCATTTATTCTTTGATCACTCCCTCAGTATAGTTGCTTATCTTGAGAAATGTTTGTCTGAGTTTCAATTAGGGGAATCATTCACTAATTGGCAGAACATTAAATTGATGCCCATTTTAATGTCACACCTAACTAATATATTTTATGGTACCTATTTTATTAATCATTCTTTGTACAACAGTGACAATTGTAACTTTAAAACCTCAGAGCATGTTGATGTCTGTCTACTGTCTGGTTTCATGTGGTGAGTGTCATGTCTTCTGCTTTATTTTATTGGTCTCTGAAAAACAATAAATTATCTGTTTCTTACATTCTCAAATACAAATATGCATGAAATTTATCAAAATCATATTTCTATATTATATTGCCTGAATTAAAAAAGTAAATTATGTGACTGTGAGTAGTTTTAGTATGTTTCTGTTCTGACATTTTTATGTAATAGACAAATAATATACTTGCATAAACAGTTTTTGAAACACTAATCTGATTATATTTGCTATAGTTTGATAAATTATGATCGCATCCCTATACTGGCTATCTTTTGAGAAGCCCGAAATTGTCACAGTCGAGGAGGCATGTAATGATGTCACGGAGCAGTGAGATATTTTTTTTCCTCTATTTCCCATGACACCGTATAAATAAACATGACGGGATTATAATAGATTTAAAAAGTATTGTCAATTAGCATAGAGTCATAAACAGATCGTGTACAAAATATATTTACTAATCACAAGCTAAAATTATTGCTTATTACTTTGCTAAAAAAAAGCTGTTTACTAAACCCCTCCCACAAATTGAATCCCTTTCTTAAAAATAATTGCCTCCCCTTTTCCAGAGGCTCGGTATTATTGTGGTAAATAATATTTACCTTGTCACCACCATGTTGGCAGGCATATTAATATGAAATACATGTATGATTATAATTTTAGGAACTCTAGATGATCTTTCTGCTGTATATTTTGCACTCATGACCATGGTCTGTCCCTTAAAAAAACTTGTTTCATTTGTGTGTTTTTTGGTTGTAATTTCTTCTTATAATTTATATCAACAAATTTCTTGTAAATGGTTCCTGACCAAGCTCTACTGGTTGTCTAGAGCAGTGGTTCTCAACTTTCCTAATGCCGCGACCCTTAAATACAATTCCTCATGTTGTGGTAACCCCTAACCATAAAAAAAATTTTCGTTACTTCATAAATAGTTGTTTTGCGATGGTCTTAGGCGACCCCTGTGTAAGGGTCGTTAGACCCCCCAAAGTGATCGCTAACCAGAGATTGAGAACCCCTGGTCTGGAGCCTGTGGAAGGAATATTGTCAGTCTTCCAGATCCATCCAAATGTTTTTGATTGTGCTTGGACCAACACAAAACTACTCCTATAAATAAACTTCAATAACGATTCATCCGTCCCTGCTTTTGCCTGCTCACCACTTCTTTCCCCTCAGACCTAACTAGTGCTTTTCTTTTCCATGCTTGGATTCCCAGCTGATGTAGATCTTGTTCCACATCATCCATCCATCTCAGAGTAGGTCTGCCTCTGAGACGTTTTCCTCTGGGATGTTGTTGATGTATACCCTCTTCACTCCTCTGTCACTAGACATTCTTTCTGATGTGTCCCGCCCCAGCCGAGCCTGCACTTTTTGTATTTCGGCTACTAGCGTGGGATTTTAATAACGATTCGACATGACTAATTTACAAATACTCATATTCTACAGCAGGCCTGCACAACATACGGCCCGCCAACACCCACTTTTTGGCCCGCGAGGTAGCCAAATATCCTTAATTCTTATTATTTTCTTATTAGCTTTTCCCCTGTCCTATTTTCTTTTGGCCCGCACAAGTCCTGTCCTATTATTTTTTTGGCCCGCACAAGGCCTGTCCTATTTTCTTTTGGCCCGCACAAGGCCTGTCCTATTTTCTTTTGGCCCGCACAAGTTTTCCATTAAGTATTACTGCCCGCCTTACATTTTGAGTTGTGCTGGCCTGTTCTACAGTGTAGCTCACACACTAAAGCCGCTCTTCACTAACCAAGTTGTCAAACGGTCTTTTACCCCGCTTTCCATAGCAACCAAGTCAGCGTCACGGTTACAGAAATTACGTCTCACGACACTTGGCAGCAAGGGTCCCACAAACAATTTAACAAGACCCACCACACACATCAGTGGACGCATAAAGTACACATTTTACATCATATTCTATACTTGTCAGTTCCTGGCTGTTTAGGTCAAACTGTTATGCTGAGACCGGTCCCCCATAACTCTAAAATCCCCGGGTGGCTGGGACTCGTTAGCCTTGGACCGCAACTCACATAAGAGAAGGCTAACTCTGATGAATTCAAACCAGGAGCCAAAATGAATTGGTCGTGGGCCCTCACATAGAAAAAAAAAAAGAAAAAAAACTCTTGGATACAATCTTACAATCACGTTTAAATCAAATTGATGGTTCCTAAAGCACATGGCCTTAATTCTGTTAGTAATTTTTTCACTCTGCGTCCTTACACCCAACACTTACACCGTTCAAACACTCAAGTCATTGATACAATCAAGTCATTCAAAATTCAAACAAATTGGATCTGGAAAGTGATAGCATCACCCAGCATCGCCGCCTCAAAATCTCTCTTACTCCACCCTCAATCCCACTTTGCTAAAACTATTGACCAGGAAGTAGTTTGTATTCATGCATCTGCATCTGGAAAAGTGTTGGAATGACAGGGGAAAATATGAGTTCATAATCGTCATCCAAGACTCGGATTATCTAAGATCTGGTCAGTCCACAATATTCATTGGTCAGTCCATATCTAGTCACTGGTCAGTTCATACGAAAGGTTTAGCCACTGGTCATTTCATACTAAAGGTTTAGTCACTGGTACGTCCATATCTGGTCACTGGTCAGTCCATATCTAGTCATTAGTCAGTCCATATCTAGTAACTTATCCGTCAATATCTAGTTATTGGTTAAGCTTTGAGTCTTAACTCTTAAAATCAACCATATTTTCATCTGCATGTATTTGCCTAAAATACTTAAAAAATAAAGATTTGAGACCGCTTTGACCCCGTGGAAACAAAGCCAGGTATTTACTGTGTTCATATTTGTATAGTCATCGATGACACCAGGCCATCCCGTCTTCCCCGCTCTTTCTTACTTTATCGCTATGTCATCTGCTTGCCAAACTTGTGATGACTCTATCATTCCAAATATCTTCCGAGTGCATGAGTCTCAATGTGTCAATGTGGAAGTCCAAACCCGCCGGGGCCTTTATTTCAGAAACTTACCCTTGTTTGTAAACATGTCAAATCATCTTTGACTTGCTGAGGTTTTCTCAAACTATTCCATTTTCTACTACCCCTCTTGGCATTGATTGACTTTGTGCGCACTGTGCATACCCTTTCCTTGGAATGAGGTTATTTTATTATTTAAGTTGTGCCTCCCCCAGAAAACATGACATAGCTGTTTATTCCTAATATCTTACCGATGTGACATCAAACGCTAGTGCAGTGGTTCTCAACCTTCCTAATACCGCGACCCTTTAACACAAAATTATTTTCGTTGCTGCTTTATAACTGTAGAGCAGATGTGTTTTCCCATGGTCTTAGGCGACCCCTCTGAAAGGGTCGTTCGATCCCCAAACGGGTTGCGACCTACAGGTTGAGAACCGCTGCGCTAGTGGGCCATGAAAAATTCAGATGTGTTGTACCATTTTGTTATAAACGAATTAAAAGGGATGTATAAAAGTATTTGGGAATTTGAAGCACGTTATAATGGCTATATAATATTGAATCTACATTGCGCTTACCAAACAGACATATTTTTTAAAATACTTTCTTAAATCATCATGATGTGTCTCGCATGTTAAGTTATTTATTTTAGCGCGCTTCGCACAATAATTGTCTTAATTTTCGAAAGACGACTGGCTGGGGTAAAAATCCGTTAGGGGTCTCCGATACTAAAGCCTTCTCCGCTTTATTTACCCAATCTATTTTGGGAGGCACTGGCGTGACGTGTCCTCATGAATGAAAGAAATTGATAGCTGTGTTGTACTTGGTGTTATCTGGTCACACTTGGCCAAATGTTTGGATGAAATGTTTATGTTGAAACGGGTGTCGCGTTTTGGGGGGGGGGGGGGGGGGGGGGGTGTTATGGTGGAATGTGTTTGCAAGTGGAAGGCAATTACATAGTCATGTGTTTATATTGAAGTCAGGGGCATAACCGTGTGTGCATATTGAAGTCAGGGGCATAACGGTGTGTGTAAAGGGTTTTGACGTGGAAAGTAGTGGCGTAGGCGGTGCGGGGGGGGGGGGCTCAAGTAGGGGCCATGATACCGCTTATTTTAAAATCGTTATACATTGACATGTTATGTGGTACGTATGTTTGCCATTGTAATCATGTAATATATTTACTTAATATTTCTAGGACCGGTGTAATTTACAATGATTTTATCTTAATGTTAATCATCAACCAGCTTGGTTATATTCTTCTTCCTAAAACCACACTACTTTCCATTAACCACCTGCTGTCTTATGGTCCATCAATCGTCTGTATGAGCATGACTCCCCAATTTCTTATGGTCCACCAATCGTCTGTATGACTCACCAATGTCTCATGGTCCACCAATCGTCTGTATGACTCCCCAATGTCTTATGTTCCACCAATCGTCTGTATGACTCCCCCATGTCTTATGGTCCACCAATCGTCTGTATGACTCACCAATGTCTTATGGTCCACCAATCGTCTGTATGACTCACCAATGTCTCCTGGTCCACCAATCGTCTGTATGACTCACCAATGTCTCATGGTCCACCAATCGTCTGTATGACTCCCCAATGTCTTATGGTCCACCAATCGTCTGTATGACTCCCCCATGTCTTATGGTCCACCAATCGTCTGTATGGCTCACCAATGTCTTATGGTCCACCAATCGTCTGTATGACTCACCAATGTCTCCTGGTCCACCAATCGTCTGTATGACTCACCAATGTCTCATGGTCCACCAATCGTCTGTATGACTCCCCAATGTCTTATGGTCCACCAATCGTCTGTATGACTCACCAATGTCTCATGGTCCACCAATCGTCTGTATGGCTCACCAATGTCTCATGGTCCACCAATCGTCTGTATGACTCACCAATGTCTCATGGTCCACCAATCGTCTGTATGACTCCCCAATGTCTTATGGTCCACATGCTGTTTTATGGGATTGTACGACTTCGGCTGTGGCCAAGAAAGGTATGTGGTGGGTTGAAGGCCATGCTCGCAGTTCGGCTTTGACAACATTGAATGCGACGCGTTGCCCGTATCTAGAGTTTGTATCAAATCGTTTATCTGCTGGTATGTTCAAGTACGAACTCTAAAGTGATCTATCCCTTAGATATCCCATTGTGAAACGTGAACCATTGATCACACTAAAGTGTAGCACGATTTCCGCTGTGTCACGCCGTGCAGTTCCGTCTGTACTCTGAATGATCCGGTCATTATATCACTATCAATATATATATATATAATTTCGTTTAAATTTGATTGTAGTAATATATATAATGATTTTAATATACATTTGTAACACATCCTAATTTTTACAATTAAAGCATAAACTGTAATTTCAAGTTGATAAAACCCTGTTGTTGTTTTTTTTCTTTTTTAGTGCTTGTGCATTGCCCACTCCGGGCCATTAGCCCTTTTTATTTTAGCTGGACTCGAGTGAGGTCTCTTTGTTTTTTCCTTGTTGTACCATATTTGGTGAGTTTCCCGTGAGTTTCCCGTGGGTTTTGGTGTGTTAATTTATTTATTATTATTTTTTTTTTTTAAATATTCTTTTATAAATTTCCGATATCAGTTATCTTCTCTAAATATATCGGTCAGTATATATATATATATTTTTTTTTTTAAAATCACAGTTTTTAATGAAATATTGCATAGATCAGGTCAGGCATCGAACCCCCAGAACACCATTGCATGTGCAATTACGTCCCCTTTAAAAGGATTCTTGAACCACATGTTTTATTTCTTTTCTTTTTTTTAAAATAATAATTGCGCAACTGGAAAAGATATTAAGATTTAATTTAAGTTACCAGAAAATAGTGTTTAATTTCAATATAATAGTTTTATATCTTCATCAAAATGCTGGCACAGTTAACCCCTGTAGTAAGTCAACTGCCTATTAGGGGGTTCGAGGTGGCTTTCAGGGGATTTGAGGAAACGCTAAGAAGAGTAGAAGTCTTTTTTTTATTTATTATTTTTTTTTTCGATTTTAAACCGCATTGTATCTGTTGTTGGGGTGTGGGACTTGTACATATAGAATAGATTAAGAACCCCCGATTTAGGGGGACATGTTATACTTTTAAATTCAGAGAACCTTGTCATATCAAGACAGTCCTGTGACGTCAGCACTTAGGGAAACACATCGTGATGTAGCAGTATTTTATCCTGCTAGTCGCCCCTCACACATCCCGCCCTTTTAATTTTTTTTTTGTTTTTGGTTCCGGGTCTGGCCGTATCCCAGAAAAATGTCGGATGTTCCTCTTTGATATTCCCAGTGTATGTCAATCAACACCGTCATATTTCCGAGTCTATTTACACTTTTTTTTGAGGGTGATGGTTTGGGGGGGGGGGGTCCGTGTGAAGTTAAAATGTGTCGAGTCACTCCAGCCAGTAGTCAATAGAGACGTTAGTGCATTTTATTTTTATGTTTTGCTCTTATCAGCGTAGAGACCGGTTCTGATTGGTTAGCTTGCCTTGCACTTGTATCAGGCCTATGTCAGCTGTCTATGGGACTGTTTCGGTATGTGGTCTATACAAATTGATTTCTAATGTTACTGGAATGATAGTTTAAATATGTTAGCGCTCGGGCGGTGATTGTTCATGTGTATATCAGCGCTGGGGAGTTGGACAAAAATTTGATTCAATTGTATGATTTGATGACGACAAAAATATGACTCAGTGTGTATGACTTTAATAACGACCAAAAAAATGTTATGTTATGTTCTTAACCAGTTGTTAATGACCTCAATGTGTTGATACGTAGACAGTTGTTAATGACCTCAATGTGTTGATATGTAGACAGTTGTGTTGATATGTAGACAGTTGTCGTGTTGATATGTATACAGTTTTCAATGTGTTGATATATGGACCGTTGTTAATGACCTCAATGTGTTGATATGTGGAAAGTTGTCAATGTGTTGATATGTGGAAAGTTTTCAATGTGTTGATATGTGGAAAGTTGTCAATGTGTTATGTAGATAGGTGTCCATGTGTTGACTGTCGTTGATATGTAGACAGTTGTCAATGCATTGACAGACATTGATATGTCGATAATTGTCGGTGTGTTGATGTGTAGACGTTTAATTATGTATAAACAACAGTAAAGACGTAAAGTAGGACACTAAACCTTCCATATGTGCATTAAGCCTTTCATATGTGCATTAAGCCTTCCATATGTGCATTAAACCTTCCATATGTGCATTAAGCCTTCCATATGTGCATTAAGCCTTCCATATGTGCATTAAGCCTTTCATTTGCGCAGTTGATGTTAAAATATCCCACACGTTTAATTATAGATAAGAAACGCGCTGAATGGCGGTCGTGCTGTGTTGCCATGTCGCCAGATGATCAGTTTTAAATATAATGAAATATGCGTCGACTTCTTGGTAGTGCTTTTCTGCTTGAGACTCCTCATAGCTCTTGCTGACCACTGTAATAATAATTACTCAAAATGTCTAAGACTGGTATAATTTACAATGATATTATCTCAATGTAATCATAAACTCGCTTGGTTATATTCTTCTGCCTTCAACTTCACTACTTCTCATTGTCCACCTACTGTCCTTTTGTCCAACAGCTTACATACTGTTTTATTGTATCAACACACCTACCGTATTGCGGTTTTCCCATACATACTGTCTTAATGGTGTTTATGGTCCCCCAACCCCTACTGTCTTAATGGTGTGTATGGTGCCCCAACCCCTACTGTCTTAATGGTGTTTATGGTGCCCCAACCCCTACTGTCTTAATGGTGTTTATGGTGCCCCAACCCCTATTGTCTTAATGGTGTTTATGGTGCCCCAACCCCTACTGTCTTAATGGTGTTTATGGTGCCCCACACCTGTCTTAATGGTACTCATCATGATGTACTCACCACCACTGTATTAATTGTGTACCCACACCTACTGTCTTAATGGTGTACATCATGGTGACCCCACCCTACTGTCTTAATGGTGTACCAACCTATACTGTCTTACGGTGCCCCACCCCTTTACCGTGTCTTATGGTGTCCCACCTCTTCACCCTGTCTTATGGTGCCCCACCGCTTTACCGTGTCTTATGGTGCCCCACCCCTTTACCGTATCTTATGGTGTCCCACCCCTTTACCGTGTCTTATGGTGCCCCACGCCTTTACCCTGTCTTATGGTGCCCCACCCCTTTACCCTGTCTTATGGTGCCCCACCCCTTCACCCTGTCTTATGGTGTCCCCACTCTAACCTCGTGGCCGTCCATATGGTACGTACGCAAAAAGTCAAATTTTAGGACCCCCCCCCCCTTTTGGGGCTATGTGTACATACATTGAGCTTTCGACCCCCCTCCCGTCCTTACATATATTGATCTTTCGCCCCCCCGTCCTTACATATATTGATCTTTCGGCCCCCGTCCTTACATATATTGATCTTTCGGCCCATCGTCCTTCCATATATTGATCTTTCGACTCCCGCCCGTCCTTACATGTATTGAGCTCTCGGCCCCCCGTCCTTACATTTATTGAGCTTTCGACCCCCCCCCCTCATTACATATATTGAGCTTTCGAAAAATGTACGCAGCGTCGCACTGGACAGGACGACGAGGATGGGGCGAAGAGCAGCAGGCGCCAAAAACGTCCTTACATCGGGCCTTAATAGTGAATTATACTATAAAATCCCATATAAGACCAGGGGAGCTATAATTTGTCTTTTTACTATGGTCCCCCCGGGGGAGCATTTTCTTTATGGGCATCTGCAGCGTATTCACTGGGGCGTTGCGAAATATAACAAAATTTTATAATTTTTTATTCGCATTTACTCAACGTGACATCTAGCGGTTGTGGTACAGTAACCCACTTGAGCAACTACTGTTTGCAGTTACCAGATGGCGCTGATTGATCTACATGCGTATCATATTTATATTTATCCAACCCTTTATTTTATTTTGTTTATGTATTGGCTGTGTTGAAGTGTACTTGTTAGAATTGAACAGGTGGTGTCTGGTGAAAACCTGAATTTGGCATAGGCTCCCGGAAACAAATCTAAAAAAAAATTTGGAACCATTGGCGTAGCACTTCAAAATATACGTCACATGAACTTTGGACATATGGAGCACTAAATATTACTGTAATACCTCTACTACTGAGTACTATTTGAGCACTACCTTAGCGAGTTCATTTGTGAACATACAAGGCAACAAAATGACGATAATTCCTACTAAACATTGCGCGATATTTTTTTTTTTAAATTCCAGTCATAAATACAATATTTTTTCGAATTTCAGGAAGATTATTGTAGAATTTTTTTTTAAATGTACATAATTTCTGTCAGGAAATACGCATGCGTACGCACAATCTCCGAAAAAATTCGACAACCCCCATCTCAGTGAGTACGTACTATATGGATGGCCCCCTATGGTGTCCCCACACCTACCGACGTATTGGGTCCCCGCCCTTAGTGTCTTATGGTGCTCCCAACCTCCCCCCCCCCCGTCTCAGAAATGTTTACTCTTTCGATTTTGGCATACAATGTCTTTAAGTTTCTACACCGAGTCACGTGAATACTTTCATTTCAAGAGACCCGGTTTAAAAAAATATTTTCACCCACCAATTAGGGTGGGGCTGGTGGCTCGCCAAACGAAATAATTACGTCACCAGCACGAAAAGAATATAGTGTGTTGTCACTAGGCTAAATATTACTACAGCTGTTTTTTAGCGAGCTATTTATGAAAACATAAAGCATCAGTATGCCGACAACTGGGAAACCTTGTGGCGATATTTGAATAGCCTTAATAGGCCTTATAGAAAATCATGGCTTTAACAGCAGATATTTAGGTGACAGTCGGCTCTATTAGTGACGAGCGGGCAAATTGCATAGATGATATTAATGATATCATCGGCGTGGAATCAGCTCTCTTTTTTCAAGACTGCTATTTTTTTTAATGCATTCTCAACTGCTCAGCTCGGCAGCTTTACGTTTTGACATATTCTATAAGATCTATTAAGCGGCATTTGAAATCCATTTTTTAAAGTCACTAAGCAGCTGTACAATTTTAATACCACATTTTTGTTCCATCACTTCTCTTCCTTTCTCCCAGTATATCTTGCGGTAGTTTTAGACCACACTGTGTTAACAGAAAAATAAATTCGGGCTTCTAGGCTCAATGCAGGGGTGGGGAGCACGCGGCCCGCAACTTCAAATGTTACGGCCCACCGGCTGTATCACAAAGTGATTTATTTATTTATTTATTTATATAGCGATTATCTTGATTTGTTTGATAAACGCACATTTTTTTATATCAACATCATTTTTCTGTGGACGGTACGCGCCATTCAGCGTAGACCAAATTGTACTTTAGACAAATATCAGCTTCGACCAAGTTTAGTTCATTAATCTTTGATGCTAACGATTCAATACTTCTTGTTCTTCCTGTCAGGCGTAATGGATTTGCACAGACGGCTTTTGTTACACACAGAAAGTACACGTATCAGTAACACGATAAATGGCGTCCAATTACCTCCCCCTGCAAGTGTGGAGCACCTCCTCCTCATCCCAAACACAGCCCATACGTCAGCAACACGGCGGACCGTTCCAACAGGCTTCCACTAGTCAGCAGCATCTGCCCAACGGCCAGCAGCGGGATTGTCGATCATGGGAAGCCATCTTGGCCCGCGAGACACAGGCTGCGGCCGAGAGACCCGTGCCCGTCTCGTGGTACATGATGCGCACCCAGATGGCGCAGATATCCCCCGACGGCAGCACGAGGTTCAAAATCTCCCGATATCCCGAGGAAGCCTTGTCGGCCATCAACCAGTTCCGCCACGAGGGGGCGCTCTGTGACATCACGCTCAACGTCAAAGGTCAGCTCATCAGAGCGCACAAATTAATCCTGTCCGCCTGCAGTAACTACTTCAGGGCCATGTTCATGAACGGAATGAGGGAAGCAAACGCCAGTGACGTGGACATCCTGGAGCCTAACCTTACCGCTGAGACACTCAAAACCCTGGTCGAATTTGCGTACACCTATGAAATCGTCGTCACCCAGGCCAACGTCCAGGCCTTACTTGTTGCCGCCATATTCCTAGAGATTCGTCACGTGGTTGATGTGTGTACACTGTTCATGGAACAGCAGCTGGACCCCAGCAACTGTATAGGATTCGCCTACTTCGCATGTCTTCACGGCTGCCTGGATCTGGAGGCCAAGGCGAAGAAATACATCCACGAACACTTTTGTGAGGTCATTAAGTACGACGAGTTTCTAACGTTGGATGCTAACGAGATGGTTCAAATAGTACAGCAGGATGAGCTCAATGTCAGGTGAGTACAGGTTAGGTGTCTATAGTGTCATGTACTTGTACGGGTTAGATCTCATGTCACATGTCATGTACAGGCTAGACCTCCATGTCACGTACACGTTAGATATCTACAATTTAGAAGTCATTGTCAAGTTTGTACCAGTTAGAACTCAGTGTCAGCTTTGTACAAGCTAGAACTTGATGTCAGGTTTGGACAAGCTAGAACTTGATGTCAGCTTTGTAAAAGCTAGAACTTGATGTCAGCTTTGTAAAAGCTAGAACTTGATGTCAGCTTTGTAAAAGCTAGAACTTGATGTCAGCTTTGTACAAGCTAGAACTTGATGTCAGGTTTGTACAAGTCAAATTTTGGTGATTCGGTCCAAAATTTGATATGAGTAGTATTTGACCAGAGTAATAGCTGTGAGCAACAGTAGTTGACAAGATCAGTGTTTTGCACAAGCTGTAGTTGTATATATACTATAGTGTCACCGTGCACATGTGGCACTCTTCAGTACAGATCTGTCACCACTGGTTTGGACAAGTTTGGTGAAAATTTTTGTCACGATTAACCAACGATAATTCGTGTTACGAACATAATTCTATACACACATACCACCGGCTGAATAGGGTTCGTCATTAAATTGCGAAAATCTATTAATAGAACATCCTGGGGTGCAGTCCGGCCAATCTCATTAAGATATTAATCAAACATCCTGGTATTCCGTCTGGCCAATCTCTCAACAGCTGTTCGGTACTTCTACGTTAATGTGAGCCGGTAAAGTGAGTCTTACCTAGACGGAAACGTGCTTACAACTTTATTTTACGAAAGATTTAACAATTTGTTACCGCTATACGTATGCGGAAATACATAACTAGAAGCTGGTTTACGAAAATATTAACTACAAATAGTTTATAGAAAATGACGTTAACTCTTCTTGTTTTTTTTTTAACACTTGGACCCAGTGGGTATTTTGTCAAATACCCGAACCCGGTTCAAAAAAACTTCACCCGGTTAGTCCTAGTGGCAGGGCCCACGGATGCCAATGTCCAATTAACTTATTCGTTATTCATTAAATCGACAAAGAAATCCATTGAAATGAAACAACCCCTAAAAACTAAGTTATTGGTATAAATCCTTCATAAAATATAATATCGAACAGTGTGGGGTGGGGTGGGGCTAACGCACATTTTAAGAATTCCCATTAGTGCTCCTCCTCCCAACCTCCAAGGCTCACAACAGTAACATTTTTTTCACGCTCCTGGACAATATGAATATTCTAATGACACACCCGCATTAACACAGCAGATTTATGTCACCAACTATTTCAGAAAAAAGAAAGAAAATATTACGCACCAAACGCACTTGCGATATTTTTCTTTAACTATTCTCATTCAGTGGGAATTTTCTTTTCATGTTCCTCTTGAAAATCATGAAAAACAGATTTTTAGGCGGTGGGGCTGAAAATTTGTTAGAATGTGGTGAGTTCTGCAACAAGTCTACGTGCCAAGCTTCAGCTCGGTAGGTTGACGAGAAGTGGATCATTTAGCCGTCCGAAGATTTATGTCAGCCAGCCACAAACATAAGCGAAGTTAACAAATAGGATTTTTTTTAAAACTAAGTGAGAGAAAAGATAAAATGAAGTCATATTATTTACATAAGTTTAGATTCATTCTGTTTTGTTATTTATCATTTCATTGTGTGCATTAAGAATAGATAAATAATTCTATGCACCATTTAGTGCAGTAGTTCTCAACCTTCCTAATGCCGGGACCCTTTAATACAGTTCCTCATGTTGTGGTGACCCCCAACCATAAAATTATTTTTGTTGTTAATTGATAACTGTAGACTACCCGGTAGATGTGTTTTCCGATGGTCTTGGGCGACCCCTATTGCGGGGTCGCGACCCACAGGTTGAAACCGCTGATTTAGTTGGTTTTGCCACCCCCTACCCTGGTCTAGGTAGTTGCACAGAAATATGTTAACTAAAACACAGAGTACAAAACACAAGCGCCGAAGCTAAACACTTTGAAGCGAGTAGAGGGTGGTTGGAGTGCAGTGGTCCTTCATGTATCGCGGTCAATCAGTTCCAGTCTCTACCGTGATATATGAATTACCGCGAAGTAAGATTCTTTATTTAAAATCGTAGTTCGAGAATAAGAAACCCGCTCACAGGCCTCTAACTCTAAATGTGGTTTTGAACATTATTAGACCCGGATACTCGAATACATAGGCCTACAGTCCATACCTACAGTGATTTTTAATAGTAAGACAGTGGTGCATAATTGACTCAGACAGCGGAGCGCGCGCTGTTTCATTTTCAATATCTCGAATAACTTTTTTTACTGAGTACATGATATATTTGGAGATAAATAACGCGATATAAAGAGACGAGTGGCGATGGGCGTCTGCCATCTCCTCGTGTCTAGAAATCAGTCAGCCTATAACATGTTGATTTAACGAATTAAAAATCTTTAAATCTTTTACACGCTGAAATCACCTAAGTGTTGTCATTAAGTCAGAACTATTTCTCGTTTGCAGGTGTGAAACCGAAGTGTTCCAGGCCGTGGTCAGGTGGGTAGAGCACGACACCGACAGGCGACTCTCCCAGCTCGAGGATCTGCTGGAAAAAGTCCGACTGTCCAGCCTGGCGCCGTGCTTCATAGAGGATCAGTTGGAGAGATGCTACATCATTCAGAGGTTGCCTGGCTGCATCCGCCTGCTGCTGGACAGGCTGCGAGGCTTGAAGCAGCACCACGACTGCCAGGAACGACCGAGGCGACCTTGTAAGCCGCTGGTCATCTACGTCGTGGGCGGGTTCTACCGGAAGGTCATGGATTCCTTAAAAAGTTTTGAATGCTACAACCCTTGCAGCAAAGAGTGGACGCGCCTGACGGATCTACCTTCCCCCAGGTGTGGGCCGGCGGTGACCTCTTTACACGGAGCGATCTATGTGGTGGGCGGGAGTGTCAAGGTCAGGGGGGACAACCGGGACCTGGCGTCACTGGAGATGTACAACCCTGAGGAGAACGTGTGGCACACCAAGTGCCCGATGGGCGTGGCCAGGAACAGGGTCGGGGTTAGCGTCCTTGACAACATGATCTACGCGGTGGGAGGGTCAGCTGGCGGTGAACAACACAAGTCAGCAGAAAGGTTAGTCAGCCTGTGGTGCTGATAGGTTAGTCAGCGTGTGATGCTGATAGGTTAGTCATTTTCTGGTGCTGATATGTTAGTCAGCCTGTGGTGCTGATAGGTTAGTCATTTTGTGGTGCTGATAGGTTATTCAGCCTGTGGTGCTGATAAGTTAGTCAGCTTGTGGTGCTGATAGGTTAGTCAGCCTGTGGTGCTGATAGGTTAGTCAGCTTGTGGTGCTGATAGGTTAGTCAGCTTGTGATGCTGATAGGTTAGTCATTTTGTGGTGCTGATAGGTTAGTCAGCCTGTGGTGCTGATAAGTTAGTCAGCTTGTGGTGCTGATAGGTTAGTCAGCTTGTGATTCTGATAGGTTAGTCAGTTTGTCTTGCTGGTAGGTTAGTCAGCATGTTGATAGGTTAGTCAGCTTGTGATGCTGATAGGTTAGTCATTTTGTGGTGCTGATAGGTTAGTCAGCCTGTGGTGCTGATAAGTTAGTCAGCTTGTGGTGCTGATAGGTTAGTCAGCTTGTGAATCTGATAGGTTAGTCATTTTGTGGTGCTGATATGTTAGTCAGCCTGTGGTGCTGATAGGTTAGTCAGCGTGTGATGCTGATAGGTTAGTCATTTTGTGGTGCTGATATGTTAGTCAGCGTGTGATGCTGATAGGTTAGTCATTTTGTGGTGCTGATAGGTTAGTCATTTTGAGGTGCTGATATGTTAGCATGTGGTGCTAATATGTTAGTCAGCGTGTAGGGCTGATAGGTTAGTCAGCTTGTAGTGCTGATAGGTTAGTCATTTTGTGGTGCTGATAGGTTAGTCAGCGTGTAGGGCTGATAGGTTAGTCAGCGTCTGGGGCTGATAGGTTAGTCAGCTTGTGGTGCTGAAAGTTAGTCATTTTGTGGTACTGATAGGTTAGTCAGCATGTGGTGCTGATATGTTAGTCAGCATGTGGTGCTGATAGGTTAGTCAGCATGTGGTGCTGATAGGTTAGTCAGCATGTGGTGCTGATAGGTAAGTCAGCGTGTGGTGCTGATAGGTTAGTCAGCGTGTGGTGCTGATAGGTTAGTAATTTTGTGGTGCTGATAGGTTAGTCAGCTTGTGGTGCTGATAGGTTAGTCTGTGTGTGGTGCTGATATGTTAGTCCGTGTGTAGGGCTGATAGGTTAGTCAGCTTGTGGTGCTGATAGGTTAGTCAGCTTGTGGTGCTGATAGGTTAGTCTGTGTGTGGTGCTGATATGTTAGTCAGCTTGTAGGGCTGATAGGTTAGTCAGCTTGTAGGGCTGATAGGTTAGTCAGCTTGTGGTGCTGATAGGTTAGTCTGTGTGTGGTGCTGATATGTTAGTCCGCGTGTAGGGCTGATAGGTTAGTCAGCTTGTAGGGCTGATAGGTTAGTCAGCTTGTGGTGCTGATAGGTTAGTCTGTGTGTGGTGCTGATATGTTAGTCCGCGTGTAGGGCTGATAGGTTAGTCAGCGTGTGGTGCTGATAGGTTAGTCAGCTTGTGGTGCTGATAGGTTAGTCAGCGTTTGGTGCTGATAGGTTAGTCTGTGTGTGGTGCTGATATGTTAGTCCGCGTGGAGGGCTGATAGGTTAGTCAGAGTGTGGTGCTGATAGGTTAGTCAGCTTGTGGTGCTGATGGTTAGTCTGTGTGTGGTGCTGATAGGTTCATCAGCGTGTGGTGCTGATAGGTTAGTCAGCGTGTGGTGCTGATAGGTTAGTACGTGTGGTGCTGATAGGTTAGTCAGCTTGTGGTGCTGATAGGTTAGTCAGCGTGTTTTGCTGATATGTTAGTCAGCGAGTGGGGCTGATAGGTTAGTGAGCGTGTGGTGCTTATAGGTTAGTCATTTTGTGATGGTGATAGGTTAGTCGGTGCGTGGTGCTGATATGCTAGTCAGTGTGTGGTGCTGATAGGTTAGTCAGCGTGTGGTGCTGATAGGTTAGTCAGGGTGTGGTACTGATATGTTAGTCATTTTGTGGTGCTGATAGGTTCATCAGCGTGTGGTGCTGATAGGTTCATCAGTGTGTGGTGCTGATAGGTTCATCAGCGTGTGGTGCTGATAGGTTAGTCAGCATGTGGTGATGATAGGTTAGTCATTTTGTAGTGTTGATAGGTTAGTCAGTGTGTGGTGCTGATAGGTTAGTCAGCTTGTGGTGCTGATATGTTAGTCAGTGTGTGGTGCTGATATGTTAGTCATTTTGTGGTGCTGATAGGTTAGTCATTTTGAGGTGCTGATAGGTTAGTTAGCGTGTGTCGCTACTAGGTTAGTCAGCATGGGGAGATGATAGTTTAGTCATTTTGTCGTGTTGATAGGTTAGTCAGCTTGTGGTGCTGATAGATTAGTCAGCTTGTGGTGCTGATATGTTAGTCAGCGTGTGGTGCTGATAGGTTAGTCAGCTTGTGGTGCTGATATGTTAGTCAGTGTGTGGTGCTGATAGGTTAGTCAGCGTGTGGTGCTGATATGTTAGTCAGCGAGTTGGGCTGATAGGTTAGTCAGCGTGTGGTGCTGATAGGTTAGTCAGAGTGTGTTGCTGATAGGTTAGTCAGCATGTGGTGATGATAGGTTAGTCATTTTTTGGTGTTTATAGGTTAGTCAACGTGTGGCTCTGGTAGGTTAGTCAGCTTGTGGTGCTGATATGTTAGTCAGTGTGTGGTGCTGATAGGTTAGTCAGCGTGTGGTGCTGATATGTTAGTCAGCGAGTGGGGCTGATAGGTTAGTCAGCGTGTGGTGCTTATAGGTTAGTCATTTTGTGATGGTGATAGGTTAGTCGGCGCTTGGTGCTGATAGGTTTGTCAGCGTGTGGTGCTGATAGGTTAGTCAGCGTGTGTCGCTGATAGGTTAGTCAGCATGTGGTGATGATAGGTTAGTCATTTTGTGGTGTTTATAGGTTAGTCAGCGTGTGGTGCTGATAGGTTAGTCAGCTTGTGGTGCTGATATGTTAGTCAGTGTATGGTGCTGATAGGTTAGTCAGTGTGTGGTGCTGTTATGTTAGTCTGCGAGTGGGGCTGATAGGTTAGTGAGCGTGTGGTGCTTATAGGTTAGTCATTTTGTGATGGTGATAGGTTAGTCGGTGCGTGGTGCTGATAGGTTTGTCAGCGTGTGGTGCTGATAGATTAGCCAGCATGTGGTGCTGATAGGTTAGCCGGCGTGTGTCGCTGATAGGTTAGTCAGCATGTGGTGCTGATAGGTTAGTAATTTTGTGGTGCTGATAGGTTCATCATTTTGTGGTGCTGATTGGTTAGTCAGCACTTGGTGCTGATAGGTTAGTCTTTTTGTGGTGCTGATAGGTTAGTTAGTGTGTGGTGCAGGTTAGTCATTTTTGTGGTGCTTTTTGTTAGTCAGTGTGTGGTGCAGGTTAGTCATTTTTGTGGTGCTGATAGGTTAGTCAGTGTATGGTGTTGATATTCTAAATAAATTGAGTGATCACCTACATATTACAGAAATTCTATCTTCACCTTGCTACTTTAGCTTCTTGCAATGAACTCCTTAGTGGCTTAATGTCTGTGATTGTAAAGGTAACCCTTGGCCGAATTACGCCTTTACTTGACCACAAGAACCCCCCTTTTACCTCAGGAACCCCTGTCACTTCAAGAACCCCTGTTACCTCCAGAACCCCTGTTATAAGAGCCCCTGTCACCACAGTAACCCCTGTCACTACAAGAACCCCTGTCACAACAAGAACCCCTGTTACCTCAAGAGCCCCTGTAACCTCATGAACCCCTGTTACCACAAGAACCCCTGTCACCAGAATAACCCCTGTCACCAGAATAACCCCTGTCACTACAGTGACCCTATCACCACAAAAATCCCTGTCACCACAGTAAACCCTGTCATCACAGTAAACCCTGTCACCACAAAAATCCCTCTCCCTACAGTAACCCCATTATCATGTTTAATCAGTGCCACTTTTAGTTTTAGAAATAAGTTTAATTTTTTTTTTGGACCATCTGGTGAATTTAAAACAGTAAGGGGTCTCTGGACTTTGTAAAGCTGAGGGCCTCAACAAGTCTAATTCCGACCCTGTGAATAGCTCTGATATTGATTGTTTTATTCATTTGGTTTAAAAAAATAATGACACATAGTTGTGAAAACTAAAAACTAAATCCGATATATGGAAAGAGTGATACAGAAATTCCTCCTTTATTGTAGGTACAATCCACAGACTGACTGCTGGGAGCCTATTGCTGAAATGAATACAGTTCGGATGTCAGCTGGCGTAGCTGTGATCAACAGGCTGCTGTACGCTGTCGGTGGATTTGATGGCACAGAGAGGCTAAGATCGGTGGAGTGCTTCTATCCAGAGTCGAATCAATGGCAGCAGGTGGAACCCATGCAGGAGCCACGAAGTGGAGCTGGTAACTGATTCTATTCTCTGTCTTTTGATTTCAGGAAGGGGACGGGGAATAACTGGGGTCTACTTTGTTGAACAAATTACAGCCAATATAACTGAGTTACATCCCTTACTGCTGATTACATTTAAAGACATAATGTATTTATATTTGTCATATATAATATAAAAACATTCACTGTGAAACTATCAGACAGCAATAGATACTTGAAGTAAACCGAACTTGGTCCATACGACATGGGCAGTGCCAGATTATCCACGGTGCAAATGCACCAAGCCTACTCTTAGTTTTTTAAATAGTAAAAGTAGACCTTCTTTATAAAATGATGTCATGAAGTGTTGAATTTTTATCAATTTTGAATTAGTTGCATGGAATATTTTTAATATAGGTATGTATTTTTCTGAGTATATCCACGAGTATTATGTGTTATGTTGTTCATCCTTCGCACACAAGGGTGACCAAGGCAATTTTCGACTTTGAGTAGTAGCCTTGAACTGAGCTGTATTTTGTTTGAAATGAGTGAGTGGTGCACATGTACGAGTGTCACCCATGCCAGTGTTTAAAGGTGCACATGTGTGAGTGGCAACAATACCACTGTTATGAGGTGCACATGTATGAGTGCCAACAACACCACTGTTTTAAGGTGCACATTTAGAAGTATCACAAATACCACTGTTATAAGGTGCACATGTAGAAGTGCCACCGATACTACTGTCAACTGCCTTTTTTTACTACTATGATAGAACATTTCTCCATTTCATCACATTGTGTATTTATTGTGTAGGTGTTGCTGCAATGGACGGGTACATCTATGCAGTTGGCGGCTTTGATGGACAGAACCAACTGATGTCTGTGGAAAGGTACAACCCAAGGAATAAGACTTGGGAATATGTGTCACCAATGAAAAAAGCTCGGAGTGGAGTTGGAGTGGCTGTCATCAACAACAAGCTTTTTGCACTTGGTAACTTCACATTGACTAAATAACATTGGTTTATTAAAAAAATGTATCTTCTCTGTGATCATAAAACTAACATTGTGTTATCGTATATGAATTATTTCATCTTCTCTGTGAGCGTTATTTTCAGCTGAAAAGTTGTTTTTTTCTTCTACAAATTTAAAGGAAAATAGCTGTATTTTTTTTTAAAAACTATTTCATAAAAAGCCAAGTTCTTTTATACAATATAAAATATGCTCAATAATGAATGTGCTCATTTACATCTGTCTACAGGTGGGTTTGACGGCAGTGACTTCTTATCTTGTGTTGAAATCTACGACCCAAAGTCTAACATCTGGAGCTGTGAGACCCGCATGCTGTGTGAGAGAAGTGGTCATGGTGTAGCTGTCGAGAGAAAGCCTACCATTAGCTGATAGTTGCTAACTGTCCTCACGGGATGGTAAAGCTTGTGATTGAAAGTCTATTACTTGGCGCAATCTATTTTATTGTCCCCATGGGATGGTAATGATACTATTTGTATATCCATTGCTGCGACTGCAGAAAAATCTGACCATGAGGCCCCATCATGTGTAGGCTCCCACTGGCCCAGCAAACAAATGAAAGAAACAGTCACATATTTAACAGTTGTAGCCATTCCTTAACTGTTTGCATCTAACAGACTGCAGTGCGTGTAGCTTCAGGTTAAAAGGCCAAATTTGTGTTTGATTGGGGTTACAATAAAATAAACGAAATGAAAGCTACAGCAATAATGTTACCACAGGAATAGTGAATTTACAGTTGGGTCTGTTCTGATTGGCAGACAGCCATTTCTCAGAACACGATAAAGTAATTATTTATATTCAAATTTGATAATTTAAATTCAAAGGTGATTATAAAAATGAAGTTTTAGAAAAAAAATCCTTTTATGTAAAAGTAAATGTCTACATTTGTTTGCTGTTTTTAGTTGACTTGTTTTATAGTTGCTAAGTGGATTTATTGATCTGGGCTAAATTTCTAATTTTTCAAATGCGTACTAGCAAACAAGAATATATTTTCTTGGGCAGTAGTGAACTGCCAGTTGCCATCCAGTATAAATCTAATAAATACCTATTGGGAAAATAAACATATTGGAAAAGTATTCATATTGGAAAAATATTCTGATAAATTATTTCAGGTATAAATATTGTACATGAGCTCTATACTTAATATTGTTTTAAGGGGCACCCAAACAATGTACCGGTAGTCGTCAACTTAATTCAACTTGAACATGAACTTATGTTCATTATAGCTATAGTTACATTAGTTTTAGATGATGAACATCTGGGACATCTGCTCATATCTTGTTCTATGAATTCCTGTATCAAATTATAAATATTGTATTGATAAGCTTATAAATAACATTTTGTCACTACATCTATGCAATGTGTTATAAAATAATGAACTAAACCCCCGCATGGTTGGCAAATTGCTCAGTGAAGAAACTAAAGCAAAATGTATTTGTTCTTAAAACCACATCTAAAACCACATTTTAGAAGACACCTAAAACTTTAAACCACACTTAAAACCAAAGGATTTGAGAGTTGTTTACATGATTTGGTTTTTAACATTAATTATGATTAATATTTTATTTTACTATAGAGAAAAAAATTAATTACCTCAAAAAAAATATTATGGTGTTATATTATTTATATGCAGTTAGACATTTTTACTTTTTTTATTTCTATGAAACAATTGAGCTCCTTTGCCTGACCTAGATCTAGGATACTTTCTATTATGTTTGGCACTACTATTTTTTTGTTGTGCCAGCATTTTCCACTCAGGTGTTTTAGTTGTCAGTAATGTCAGTGATTAAATTATTTTACTGCAATTTTCTTGTGATTTTAATAACTACAAAAGCCATTACCGGTACATTAAAGTCAAATATATGGGGCTCTGCATGCAAGCACTATGAAGTAAATAAATAGTAAAACAAGATATGTTTCGTCTTTTGCCTTCAGAAGCAGACAATATAAAACAAGAAATACCCGGTAACAAATTATTTGAAATTAAAGACTTACTTTTCCCAGATCACAATGTAGCTCTCTCAGTCTCTGTGTAGACTCAAAGGTGCACTATTAAGATGAAAGTTGAGTTTTTCAAAATCAAAACTTTCCTCTAGCATAATTCAGTGATGCATACTGTCAACTGTCAAGGATAAAGAATTTTGTTGATTCCATTCGGTAATATGATGCTGAAAATCTGAAATAATTTGTTTTATTTTTTCACGCTCACTGGTGTATTACCAGTACTATTAGTGCAAGAAATTAGAACCTTCATCACATTTACCTACAATTCCTTCCGTTGTACGAAAAAATAAATTATTGTATCATAATATTTTACCATTTATTTGTCATAACAAAGCTACTGTGATACTTAATGGTGAAGGTGGCTTTGTGAAATCAAATGTTCCTGTAAATAACATTGTGTTTGTCTATACGGGATGTAAATTATTTCTGCATTTACCTCAAAATATGGAGTCAATGGTGACTAAAGAACTGATACAAAATTGAGTGTTTCCACTTGACAGCACAATGAATAGTCTTCAATATGTCAGAATTTATTGCCTATAGTTGTTTACAATTATGTTGACATAGTGAACTGAAGAGCTAGAGGTAAGAATCCTAGAAAATTTACATTTATAATTTGTTTCCATTTTAACTAATGGGCCTATGACACTTATACTAAAATTTATTATTTTGTTTTTCTTTTAATTAATCGAATCTTAGGGGGGAGAGAAATGTTCTCTGGTGCTCTTCTAAGCAAAATTCGAAAATAATTCACCTTGCCATAAAATGTTTATTTCCTTATTTGTGTTAAATTAATAGATTTGTTTGCTCATGCTTCAGTGCTTGTTGGGAGTGAGAAAAGAAGTGCCATATAAATTCATATCCCAGTATACCGTACTGTAAGTATAGGTCCCACTTTTTTTCACCCAAAGTATCTGTAAAAATCAGGCACGTAATCTATCCATTGGACATTACAGGGATCTAGAGTCACTCCTGCCCTGATTCACAATGAGAGACTTTCATTTTCAAGTGATTTTATGTCTTAAGCAATTATAGGAGTTTCTTCCAAACAGAGCAGTACCGTATTAGATAAAGAAATACCATGCTATTACAACCTATCACAATTTGGCTTAGTCTTTTATGCAAAAAGTCTAAGAATTGTTTTTTCCTTAACTCCCCAAACTTAGGGTGCGACCTATCTGCAAGTGTATAAAGTAAACTTTTGTTAAAACGAAATTGAGCAAACAAGACAAAATTAATATTTATTTAAAATGTGGGGACTGGGTGTTTATAAACAGTAGAGACATATTTTATGACTATTCATAGATTACAAAATTATAGGTACAAATTTTGTGTGGCTAAACATAGATAAGTTTGAAGCTCATAGTGTCTGTCAATTAGAACTTTATTGATCAGTCATGTCTGGTGTCTGTTGATGAGAATTTTATTGATCAGTCATGTCTGGTGTCTGTCAATGAGGACTTTATTAATCAGTCATGTCTGGTGTCTGTCAATGAGGACTTTATTGATCAGTCATGTCTGTTGTTAATTATTAATAGCTGAAAATAGGTTGGCAGTTTAATGATTGTTAAAATCTACCGGTAATGATATGCACATCTTGCCTTTTTTATGTAGAACACCTGTTGAGAACATAATCTTAGAATCCCTTGCCTGTGTGAAAGTTAGTCCATCACTTACATGTCTGTGTTAAATTAGGGGAACACTTGCATGTGTGAAATTAGTGGATCACCTGCATGTGTGAAATTAGGGGAACACTTGCATGTGTGAAATTATGGGATCACTTGACTATGTGAAATTAGGGGAACACTTGCATGTGTGAAATTATGGGATCACTTGACTATGTGAAATTAGGGGAACACTTGCATGTGTGAAATTACTAACACAATAAATATCTGACCCATTACTGTAGATTTATTTTAACATATGGAAATTTTATGATTTATTTTTGTGTATAGTATATGTTAATAGAAACAGATTATGCCTCGATTAGACTAATGAAACCAAATACTGGTACTAAGTAATACAAAATTATGATAAAGTAGAAAAAAATAGAAATGGAACTTTGATGAAGAACTGAACTTCTAAAGGTAAAAGAGGAAAGAATAGAGTCTGAAGTTGATAATGAAAGACTTAATCATTATGTCTGAATTTTTAAAAAAAATGATTGAGCAGCTTTTTTTATCCAGCTTAGTTTATAGTTTATTTCTAGATATGATCTTGAAGTCAGTACCAAATGGCCTGTCATATTATCATTTTGTCATCTCCAATGAATAGTACAAACATTTTTACACAATGTTTGTTACTCTAGTTTTCCATAAAACAAAACGATGGCCACTTAATTTGGGGAATGGCTTGAGGTGTTTGTTTCTAGTTGGTTAAACTTGATTAGTTTGGCCAAACCATGTATTAAAAGAAATAACTGATCTAAAACCAGTTTGATGTAAAAAGTTGAGTTACCAAATTGAAATGAGTCTTCATTAATGTTGAAAATGCTCTGCTGTTGTAGTTTTTAGCAGAGATTGTGAAGCACTTGTCTAACTTAGCCCTAGCATTGGTTGGTACGAAATATCAGTTTTGATAAGATAAGATGTTTAAATGTACACTATATGGTGTGGATGCTAACAATACATGAGTATACTTTGAATGTGGTTATAGATAGACACTTGTTAATTGTTGCCTTGGATACTTGATTATTAAAACGTTTTTAAATGTTGCTTACTATGTTTGTGTTCATTTGGTTTTAATTTAAATTTTATTTAGGCATACCACACAATGTTTATATAGAAATAATGGTACTTATGTAATTTCTTACTATATGAGAATAGGGGGGGGGGGGGGGGGGGGGGGGGGGGTAATTTTGTTCTAGGTTTTGGAAATTCCTCCTCAAATTTGGTTGCTGCATCTTTAAAAAGAAAAAAAAAAGAGGACAAACAATGTAACTTTGTTTTAAAAGGGGGGAAAATTGAACACAGTTTTTAAAATTAAATTCAAAGCTGAAATATGTGTTGTTTTTTTAGATAGTGACTAAAATTAAAACAATTCATAACTTTTCTTTTGTATATCATAGAAAGCTATTGTGGGTGTCTTTGGAAAGATGAAAGATGGCTACTAGTGATATATCATATGCCATTTGTACATGTTAGATGTACTGGTACCATTTGAGTTGAGTATTCAATTCAACATTTTTACCAATAAGAGAATGTAAATGTCTCTTATCCAAAACACCTCTTGTAATAGCAATAGTATTTACACAATTATTGCAGTCTACAGTATAACATTTTAATAACTTAATCTTCCATGATCTAGCATTCTACTTTATAGCTGACCAACAAATGACAACCATATTAAAGTCATCTTTAATTTTTATCTACCTAGCCACCTTGGGTATGTAGTAACTATTAAATAACCTTTCGAGCAGGTCTAACACCAGAGGCCAGGACTGTGCCGACGTAAAACTGCGCCTGGGCCTTAGCCTGAAATTTGTCCCCCTTCTTCCCCAACAAATGGGATCAGAACTGACTTAATAACTTAATAATAATAATAATAATAATAAGTGGTCTTATATAGCGCGGTACCCCGGCCTAGGGCTGGGCTCACCGCGCTGTACATAAATATAGCAATCATAATATTAAAATAAAATACATAAATGAAATAAAAACAACATATAAGCAAAACAACACCATAGGTATATTCATCCACCCACACCAGACATTTTTACAAGGAAACCCATGTACGTTTATCGGTTTATAGGAGGAGAATCAGTCAGAGTAGTATAGTTTAAATAGATGTGTTTTGAGTGCAGTTTTAAAGGCCTGTGTGGTTGTTATATTGCGGATGTGTAGTGGCAAAGAATTCCATTGTTTGGGGGCGCAGAAAGAGAAAGATCGTTCACCATATAATTTAGTGCGTGTCTTGGGAACGGACAGAATACGCGAGTCTGCGGAGGAGCGAAGTTGTCGAAGGGGTGAATAGACAGAAAGAAGTTCAGTTAGATAGGAAGGGCAGGAATCCGAGAAAAAGTTGTGACAGAGAAGAGACAGCTTGTAGTCAATGCGTGCCTGTATAGGGAGCCAATGTAGTGAGTGGAGTAGTGGAGTGACGTGATCGCGTTTTTTTGCCTTTACTAACCGGAGCCTTAAAGAGAGACTCTTCCCCCCCCCCCTCCTTTCCACCAAATTTGAACAACAACCCACAGTGGATCAGCTTTACCCAAAAGCCATATTGTGATGCTGCTTTCTATCAGTAGGATAAAAAAAATTGTATGTACAAGTAGCATATTTTCGCTCACCAAAAAGAGCCTACTAATATCCAAAATCTTTTAAGTTTTGTAGCCAATATTTGAAAGGTTTGGAAGAGGCGTTAAGGTTTTAAAAAATGTTTTTGTATTACAGGTACAAGACAAATGTTTTTGCAACAATAACACAGACATGCGAGACTACTATAAACATGTGTCTGGAAATTTGTTCGAAAGAAAATTTGTTAGAACTGACAATTGTTTGATGTTAATTGGTTCAAACAGGGTAGGTTGTCTCATTGGCAGGTTGTCTTGTTAGGGTGTCTTATGGCTTATATTTTAAAGACCAGAAAAAAAACAAAATATTAAACCATTTAAATGTCAAACTAATTGCACAACTACAAAGTATCTATAATCTATACTTGATTTCAAACCAATAAAAATCTATTTTTTAACAGATTAACTGATTATATTAGATGTTTCTGGGTTTTTTACCATGGTAGCCTAAGTCTAAGTAAATTTTGATTATCATTTTTTTGTCTTTTATTCAAGTTAAAGTTAGAGATTTTTAATCCATTCAGAAGTCAGTAGTTATATTACTCATTTTGGAGTACAAATCTATAAAGATATTTTCTCCTCAACTAGCACGTTTCAAAGACGGTCATATATTCATGAAGGGGTTGCGTTCTTTCTTTTTCTTCTTTTTTTTTTTTTTAATTTTTATTCAGGAAATGGGGATGATAAAGAGCGAAGAGGCTGATGAAGATCGCGATCTTTTAAAAAAAAAATAAATTTATAAGACGGTCATATATTCATGAAGGGGTTGCGTTCTTTCTTTTTCTTCTTTTTTTTTTTTTAATTTTTATTCAGGAAATGGGGATGATAAAGAGCGAAGAGGCTGATGAAGATCGCGATCTTTTAAAAAAAAAATACATTTAAGTCACCAATTATCGGCGGCTATTAGGCTGGTAGCCGGACACTTTATAACGAATAGTATATTTTTAATTTGGGACCGCCGTTCTGAGGATTGCCAATTAACTATCACTATCAATTTGTACAAATTGTTTCAAACAAAATTATAAATGGTGGGTCAAAATATTAAAACTGTGACAAACTATCCCGCTCTTCCACTAACATAAAAATTTTACTGTGACACACGATTCAGTTTCCAAATACAAGACGATGTTAAAGCTGTTTACGTTAATTCACACGTGTTGTTGTTGTTCGTACTTCGCCTGCGAAGATGACCATGGCTATATTACACTACACGGTGAGTAGCATTTGGCGTGGCCTACCAGTCCTATTTATGCCTGGAACGTTTTCCCGCACGTGGAACACACATTATTTGATGTCCTAGTAGTAATAGTAGGATTTGAGTCGATTCTGCTTTTTCTTGCGGTGCGCTTTCTTTTGGCGTGAGTGGTGCGCTTATTCTCTAAGTGTTGTGCTCCGACAGCGAGTCTGCCCATGACCCACTTCAGTTCTAGTAGGTCGTGGTCTGCCACGCCATGGATTGGTTATAAATACCTTTACGGTAAACGCAGCCGTTGGCGACTTGGCTCTACCGCTGCGGTAAACGTAGAGCTGGGTTGGGGTTGGGTGGGGAGAAATCTCTTGACAGTAAATCGGTATCTGATGTCGGAACAGTTAGAAATACCGGTACTAATCAATTCGACAGTTGACTTAAAAATAACGGAGTGGCAATTAGCTTTTTGGACCCGGCTGGTCACGTGAGGGCTTTATAATATTCGGTTGGTCACGTGATGGTTATGACCGGATACTTCTACTTCTTGCTGGTTTGCCATCTTAGAGCCATATCAATCGAGAAATGTGCCATATTTTGAAGAACTTCATGAACCGGTATCGTTGAAGAACACGAAGAACAATGTGACGTAAAGCTAAAAGCAAGTAAGAATACGTTTATGTTTAAAATTTTATTGTATTTTTTAATTCTATTTTAAATATAGTTCTATAGGTCTAGGTAATCTACCACTTGAGCGTCGGCCAAGAAAAAATCCAGCACCCACGTCTTTTAAATTTTGCTCTAATAAGTCACATTCTTTGTGCACTGTAAAAAGAACCACCGACACAGGGCACAAATAGAATACTAACTATCCGACTATCAACATCTTCAGGTTTAGTAAACATCCTCAGTGCTTATGCTAGATACTTTGATAACAAAATTAAAACTTAAAAAAAATAATAAACCAATGACATAGTTGAATAGAGCTAATTTTTAAAAGAATTATAACACCAAAATCATATTTTTAGCTGTTGTAGTTTTAAAGTTATGAATTTTTAAAGTTAAAGTACGACTTAATTTGTCCTTTTTTAACTTGGACCGCATCTCCACATTCTGTGACCCAATTCCGCTGTTCGCGTCACGAGCTATATAACTCTTGTTTTAATAATTTTATTTTCAGAACTAATGCTGTATTAAAAAAATAAGTTTAATCATGTTAACAATTATAGATAAATTGTAGCTTATCTAACTATGCATTATTTCTATCAGTAAATTTAATATAATGTATTAATATATGGCTTTTCTGTTTACCAAATCTATGACATCCATTATACCAATATTTGCTATATAGTCTATTTAAGGCAACTCATGCCCTAATTACGAAAATACTGTTTGGGAACTATTGAACTTTCAACTTTGTTACATGACTAATTAATTAAAGCTTTCCCTGACCTAGTTGAATAGTTTTTGCAGACTGAAGAAAAAGAGTCTGGTCAAACGCCAAACTAACAACAAGAACTAAGCTGCAGGTGTACCAGGCCTGCGTACTGAGCACACTTCTGTATGGATGCGAATCGTGGACTACGTACTCTAAACACGAAAGAAGGCTCAATGGCTTCCACCTCAGATGCCTGCGCCACATTCTTGACATTAAATGGCAAGACAAAGTCACCAACACGGATGTCCTGTCCCAAACAAACATGTGTAGCGTCCCAGCCATGTTAATCCAAAGACGCCTCCGCTAGCTTGGACACTTCAAGCGAATGCAATCTGGTCGCATACCAAAGGACGTGCTATACAGCAAGCTGGCGACAGGGAAAAGGTCAGTTGGACGGCCTCGTCTTATATACTTAGACATATGCAAAAGAGACATGAAGTCCTCTAACATCGACATCTCAAACTGGGAGGAGTTGGCAGAGGATCGATCCTCATGGCGGGGCATCGTGAAGACAGGATCACTACATGCCGAGGATCAAAACAGGGCGGAAACAGCTGCAAAAAGAGCGAGGAGGAAGGCCGGTAAATACTGCTCCACCGCATTCGTGTGTGGGAAATGTAACAGAGACTGCCATTCGAGGATTGGTCTCACCAGCCACACCAAGAGCTGCAAGCAATGAAGATAATCTATCATCTCCCGCAGACGGAAAGATGCCATACATACTTATACAAGAAGACATACCTCATTAACTTCACTTGACTCTATCAAA